TTTACTCGGGCATTTAAATAAAATGCCAGAGTAGAACAACGGATCATCAGAACGAGGCTGACTTCTCATTTGTTTCCAGTCCAGTCCAGCACTTGGCTGGCGACCACACACACATTGGGAAACATAGCTAAGAATATAATTAACGCAAAAATATAAAAGAGACGTTGTCCTGGACTGATTCCTCTGAGTGATTAGTCAGAACTAGAAATATAAATACTATAATGGTTTCAGGGCGTGAAAAGCATTGGTGCCCAAATTTATAGTTTTTTCCTTCCCCACCAGCACTAGTCACAAAATGGCAGCAGACGGCAGAGGAGTTCGCCATAACCACCTGGCAGTTACGGATTTTCTCATATTAATCCCTTTTTAGAAATACGTAGCTAAATTATTTGGCACAGTGTTTCCTTACAGCAAGGAGTTCCACAGTTCACATTTCTTAAAGTTAAAACACACACACACTGACTCTGAAATTCTCACAAATTAGCCTTCTCACTTCAGGCAGAATTTGCTAATCCAGAGGCTCCAAGCACAAAACATTCTTTTCATGTACTGTTCCTGCCTCCTAATCCTACATCTGCCTCTCAAAGTCTCTCCATCCATTTCCTATCATATTTCCCCTCCTCTTCTTTTCAACACTTTTTAAGTCGTACTTTCTCCCTGACAATTGTCAGTTTCTCCCCTTCCTCTAACACCTTCCCCCTCACACCCCTTTTTCTCTTTATAACCTGTTTTGAAAATTATTAAAGCCATTGTTCTTAAAAAATACTAATTTACTACCCTCTGTTCTAAGTTCCCTTTAAGTCTACTCTTTCCCCCCACCCCACCCGAGAAAAGAGGTAACCTGCCTGCAGCCTGGCCCTTTCACGCTCTCCTGCTCTCTCCTACTGCATATGCCTGTGGTGGCAGAGCAGTCATGCAGGAGACATCCTGGGTGAGCTGCAGCATTAAGGCTTGTCTGAAAAAGGGCTAAGGTCCTATGGGGGGGGGGTCCTCTGACCACCATATGAAACACACTGGCTTATGTTGCACACTTACCTACATTTTTCCTTGTACTTTTCACGTACATCAGATCTTATTTGTTACTGCAAGCTCATGAAAGTTGACATATATGCTAGAAATCTATTTAAAGATTTTTTTTTGTAAAGATACTTATGGAACTGTTTGTTCCTGAACCCCGCCATATAAAATAAAATCCAGACCAGACAATGGTAGCTTCCTGAACTGGTCTTTGCCAGGCCATTAAACAGTACGGGGCGGGGGGACGTATAGCCCTCCCCTGTGGACCTGCCACTCTCCCCCCTCATTTTCTATGCTGACGAATTCGCCCTAGGCTTGCTGGGCACAGGCTGGCAGAGTAACCGGTAGTCCAGCAGTGTTCAAAAACAGAACATGCTCGCACATTCAGCTCTGTACGAATTCTCCAAATGAAAGGCAGCTGTTGAGCCTAAGAGATGAACCGGGTCTCCTTCATCCTGTTAGACATGGCATTTAAATAGGTGAAGACTACCAACATTTCTGTTATTTTTAGCATTCTTCCCACTTCAGTTAACGTGTCCCTCAGTTCTGGGATAGCTACTAGATTATCCCCCATGGCCTCCACAGAGAGGCCATTCACACCGGTCAGTAGAACATCATTCACATCCCTATCAAGTCCCTTCCCATCTGGGGATTCCCTATTTTACTCGCCTTGTGTTTTTATGACAATGTGAATCTTCAAGACAACCGTGTGAGGCGGGTGGGAAAAGAGCAGTTATTCATTCCTCCAGTGGCGGCCAAAAGGAGCACAATCTCCACTGGGCCGTGTTCAGAAGACAGGAGACGACAGTGACCCACTCAAAATCCTTGCCTGTTTGCTGATCAGGCCAGTAAACTTCCTTCTCCCACCCCACTACTGCCGACCACCACCAGGCCTTGTGCCGCCATTTCACGCATATCAAACAGGTTCTCAAAACAGCCTTTATCCAAATCTGAAAGACAGCAGAAACCAACCACAGCTAGAGATGGTTTTAAATCATGCCTGTATATAGACTCTGGTAGGCCTCGAATCGTTTAGCATCTTCTTTGCCTGCAAGAAGATTCTATATCCAAGTCCTTCGGTATTGGTTGAAAGGGTCAACCCCTCCGTTTTCCTGAAAAGGGAATGAGCCAAATTGCCCAGAAAGGGGATCACTGTAGAAATAGGGCAAGAGGTGCTGAATCCCTTCAACGAGATACAGGCAAACATCCTAGATTGGGGTGGGTGGGGATGGGGGTGTGGATGGGGGTGGGGGGAGAGAACGTGAAAGAGAAAGAAACTAGGGTGGCAAGAAAAGAAAAGCCAAGAAAGGCTTTTAGTGACTTCTGATTTTCTCAGCATTTGACTTCTCCCATTGAAAAACCTCAAAGGAAGCCAAGAACAAACCAATGTTAGTACAGTACATTGATTCCAATTTATATCCTTAATACCAGCTACTTTAACCTGTATTTTCCAGCCTAATCCTGCACACATTTTATCAGAATTTTTATCAGTTCAATGAATCTTCCTCCCCAGTACAGTATACTGTATATGTCAGGATTATTGCAATCCAAGTCATCAAAACTAACCATGTTCACTTCTCAGAACAGGTGATGGCCAGAGTCACTTCACTCAAGCTGAATTTTCCGTTATCAGGTCATCAAGAAGAGGCCATAAAAGAAGCTGATTGACTGACTACACAAACACCCCTCATTTAATATTAGCACACTTCTTAGAACCTTAACAGGTGGCCCTGCTTTGAGAGCTCCTTGACCCCAAAACACGTTATAAAACATGTACACAGCAACCTCTTCAACGCTATTAAAATGGTAATTCTTGCAAGCCCCTTTCTGCGTCATAGGACTGGAATAAAAAAATGAATTAAATAAATAAGAAGAGACCAGTAGCATAAAAGAGAGTCTTATTATTACTCAATATAGCAATTAATATAGAGTCCTCCTTACACACAAGTGACTGATACGATAAAAATCAAACAACAAAGATTCAGGAGCCAAGCATTCTCTGCTATGGGTCCAAGAATTTTTTTGGGGGGGGGGAAGGAGAGGGAGGGAAGGATGCCAATTTTGGCAATGGCATTCCAAACCCTCTTTCAGAAAAGCCTGTGTGCATGTGTGACTGTCCATTTGCAAGACTCACAGGGAGGGGAGAAGGAGAGGGGGGGGAATCTCCAGCAGCAGCTGTTTAGTGGAGATCCTGCCCAGAAGTAAAAATACTCAATAGAGCCCTACTTCCATTTTATTTTATGTTTTGGCAGGTACTGTAGAGCTTATCCAGTTCCGGGGAGCATTGCAATAACTTTCCTCCATTTGCAATCTGATGGTCTCGAGAATTTTACCCCAGCCGAAGCTCACCATGATCCCACATGGATTTACTTGGGAGTAAGCTCCACAGAACTCCCCGTTATTGGCACAAAAGATCGGATCACCCAACATCAACAACAGAGCCCACAGAGATGCCCGATAAAGGACAAGAGGTTGGCTTGTGGCTTTCCTTCATCCCTCGATGCTTAGGATTTTAAGGGACCCTTTCCGTCGAGAATATGAGGGGAGGGAGGGGGGAGATGCTGGCCAATAGCGACGAGAGAAAGGCTGGTTACCAAACATCAGCTGAATAAACAGAGGGACAAATAAAAGCGGGAGGGGGGAGGGGGGAGGGGAGCGACATGAGGGAGAAAGCGCCAGCGATCCCACTCCAGCCCTCTCTTGCACCCCTGGGGAGGAAAACGCTTGCCATAATGACAGCCAAACCCAAGGCAAAAAAAAAGGGAGGGCTGCCTTCATGCCTCAAAGAAGGCGCATCTCATCCTTGAGGGGTTGGGGAGGGGGAAAACGCCCCAGCAAGAGCGATTTATACAAGGTGGCGTCCAAGCACTCCAGGCAAAAGCCTGCCAGAGGCCGCCCAGTTCCCTTGACACAGTAAACCCGGGACTGTCAACCTCAAACGCCCTGATCGTACTATGGCTCGCCTTGCCGGGAATGTCCTGAACGTGAAGATGGGAGGACCGGGAACAGGGGAGAGAGGGAGGGGGGCCTCGATCAAGCAAGCACGGACGCAAGGCAACGATCGACCTCCTCGATCGTCCCTAATATATTCAAACATTGTGGTGCTTTTCACGCGGGGGGGGGGACACAGACACGCGGCAGATAGCCAAGCGTTATCTAAACGTGACATTTAAAGTTTCTGGCTCGGAGGGCGGCGGCGGAGCGGGATAAAGGCGCTTCTGGCTCGGCTCGGTCTACGAGCAACAACCCCGCGTCCGCGCAAAAGCGACTGGCGGGCGTCGCGTGAAAAACAAGCCCCGCTGCCCCCCCTCCCCTGATCCGAACAGGGGTGTTGACGAAGATTTCTCCTCGATCCGAGGCTCTCAAGCACGGGGCAGGCGAGTGGGTGCGAAAAGCGCCGGGGGGGGGGGGGAGAGACACGATAGCGAGCTACAGAAACAAATCCGCCCACCCACTCGATGGAGGAAAAAAGGGGGTGCCAGAAGAAATCCCCCCTCTCGCCCCCCCCACCTCCATGGCCCACTTGATTTGAGACCCAATATGGTTTGGAAGGGCTAAAGGAAACGGACTTAAAATAGAAAATCGGCCTTTCCACGAGACGGAAAAATACATTTTCCTATGTATATTAAAGGAAAGGCTGACAACGAGCAAAAATCGATGGACCGGTTACGGGGAAAGAGGGGGGACGGTGGTTTTAGGGAGACTTCCCCCCCCAAAAAAATTGGGAGGAAAGTGATTTAAACCACTCTTGTCCCGCTTCTCTTCTCTCCCATCCCCCGCCATGAGCCAGGGTTCAAGGGACTCAAATATTCCTCGCCCCCCCCCGCCCCACAGATCGGGTGTAACGCCGGGAAGCGCTCGTACGCGTGCCAACCTGCTTGCTCGCTGTTTGTGCCCTACCGCAAAAAGGAAAAATAAAAAAGGGGGGGGGACACGAAGAGACAACAACAATACAAAGTTTCTAACTTCTGCCGTCCCCTTACCTTGTTTTGAAAGCACCAAGGCTTCGTCCCTCTGCACTTGGGTGATGATAGACCGGCTTTCCATCTAACAATCCCACAGCCCCTGGGGATCCTTTGGTTGGGAGGAGGGGGGAGGGAAATGTCCAGGGAGGAGGAGGAGGAGGAAGAGGAGCGGGGCGGGGGGGGAGTGCAACGGAGAAGGATACGGTCCAGCCCTCCTTCAGTTGCAAAACCCTTAAGTAAACAGCATGCAAAGGGATCAGCAACGTAGTTGCTCTTCAGATCGGGTCCAACATGGAGAATCCAGGGCTGGAGCAGAGAGGGGGGAGGGAAAAAAAACCCACACTCACAGATACACACGCACACACACATACACATACACTCGAGAGGAAATGGGACACGGGCAGTTTCCAGTCTCCCCGCCTCCTCCTCCTCCTCCTCCTCCTCTTCCTTCCTCCGGATAAACAAGCGGTCACAGATCCGTTCTGAGCCTCCTCGCCAGCTCCGCTTTGACAGCTTCCACGGATCGGATATAAAACGGGCGCTGCGGCAGAAG